ACATCAAAATTTCTTGTAACTATAATGGCATTTTATTCTATAAAAAGTAAAAAATACCAAACTGTAAATATTATTAACTTTTATTATGTAATCCCTAAATTACTATTCAATTATAGTAATAAAATTATTAAGATTAGTTTATTTTAAAGAAAGAAACTATTATTTTAAAGCTTCTTTTCTAAGCTTTTTAATAGACTTTAACTCTTCTTTTTTTATATCAAAAGTTTTTTCTTATTGTTTTAAATATATAAAATTACTTTATTATAAACCTTAATAACTTCTTTAGAAATAATTATTGGTGATAAAAAATCTTTCTCTCTTTTATTTTCTTGATTAGGTAAAGTTGCTTTTAAAATCTCTTTATTAAATATTCTTTTATCTGTAATTTCAAACTTATTATACTTAACAAATTCTTTAGCAGAAAAAGAATTATTAAAATCTAATTTATTGATTAATACTTGAACTTTTTCTATTTCCTTTAATAAGTTAAGTTTAAGTAATATATTGATGCTAGTTTCATCCTCATTTTTATAATTATCATTAGATAAATATCTGCTTTCACCTAACAATTTTTTATTGTTTTATTTATAATATTATTTTATACTTATAAAATGTATTTTATATACTTTTTAATATTATTTTCAAAGGTTTTATATGGTATTTATTAAATTATCAAAAGTTTTAATCTGATTTTGTAAATATAGTTTTTGATATTATGCTTAAAATAAATTAAATTAAAATTAAATATAAATAAAGTATAAATATAATAATGTCAATTATATTTTAACTAAAGAATTATTAAATTAATTATATTTCTTATCTTAAAACTATTTATAATATCTTGATCATAAGGTTAGATGTGTACAGTAATATTTGGGAGGAAGAATTAAATAGTGATATTAGTCAGGTAGGTAGTTTTATAAAGAATATATATTAGAGCATTATCTACAAAAAGAAGAATTTTCTGATTTTATCTTTTCATTTTTGTATTAAGTTTTTTATGTAATTATTTCAGATTGAAATCTGCATCTAACTTTTTTAGTTTTAATAATATTTGATTAGAAGTATTCTTTTATTAATATTTTTAATAACTCTAGGATTTTTATGAACAAAAGTATCAGCTTTTTTACTTTCTATTATATTACATGTGAGTAAGATTATTACATGATCTTTTAATTATTTCGTTTTTATTGTTTGTTTATTAGATATCATTCAACATAGTTTCATCTTTTAAAACAGTCCTATTTTGTCATAATTGAATATATTTTTTAGACTATAATCTTTTAATATTTGCTAAAGATTTTCTTTCATTGTTTGAGATCTTTAAACGATATACTTGCGACTTTCTCTGTATATATGATACTATTTAAGATTGTGTTATTTTTTAAAGTTTTTCACACAACCACTAAACCCTTTAAACTTATTCTTCTTTAATGAAAAAGCAAAACTTAAGGCTTTAGTTGAAAAAATATCGTCAGTAATAATAAGATTAACTTTAAATACGTTAGCTATCCAAATTGCTAATACTTCTTCAATGAAAAAAAATAGAGTTTTTTTTATTATATTTCAAATTAACTTATTATAAATTGTATTTACAGAAAGTTAATAATCTTTTTCCTTTAAAATATCACTTACCATGTTTTTATTAATTAGCCAAGTCTTTTTGTTATAAAAAAGATGATAACATTTTTTCAAACAAAATTTTTTTTTTTATGTAGCTGTAAAAGATTTTTTTTTTTAAAGGTTTATCTTATTTATTAATAGGTTTATTAAGTTGTTTACTTTTGGCATTATGCAAAGAAAAAATGCGTAAAAAATAAAATATATAAAAAAATCATGAAACATAAGATATAACATGTAATACAAATATCTATTCATTGTTAATTTAATTTTATTTAAAAATCAGATATGAATTACAAAATTTTATATATATGGGTTGATTGCTAAGAAAATCAGGTTCTGGGAATTTTTTAACAAAATTGAGATTTTTATTGCATTTTAGTTTTTGATGTTATTAGATTAAAATGTATTAAGCTCTTAATTTAAGTGAAAAATTTCTCGGAACCTGATTTTCCTAGAAACCCTCTCATATAAATCTAGTAAATTCATTTTAAGCAAAACTTCATTGTATCAAAAACAAATTTGTTATAGAATAATTTGTTATAAAAAGGATCATTTTATATATAAATTTTTTTGACTTTAATTTGTTAAACATTGTATAAATTTTTAATAATCAAATTCAATATAGTAAGATTTTTTATATTTAAAAATCTGTCTGACACTGATAATCTGTTGTATTGTAAAATTTGTAATATCCAAGTTTACTGTAGAAAGAATTAACTATATTTGATTATAAATTTTAATATTAAATTTAATTTTAACCTCTAAATAAATTAATATATATTGAAAGAGAACAGAAATATTATATAATTAAAATTAAATAATTTGATAAATTTTATAAGAAATTAAGCTATATTTTTAAATAATATATGAATTTATTTATTGTTTAATAAAATATTTATTTATTGTTTAATATAAAATAATATAAAGTATAAATTTAAAATTTAAAAATTTTCTGCTTTTCAATTTTTTATATAGAATAAGATTTACTAAAGAATTAGTTATTAAGTTTTTATTAATTAATAAACGTATTATAATTATAAAATGACATCTTATTTAATATATAATTTCTGAATCACTAGACCTATTTTTGCATTAATAATAGCTATTTTCTTAAATATTAAACTTTAATAAAATATAATTTAAAAAAAAGATTTTTTAAATTTAACATTATAAATTGTAACATTTTAAATTAATTAATAATAAAATATTTATTTATTTAATAAATGATTTAAATATTATTAAAAAAACTTGATTCAGTTATAAATATCAAATTCACTTAATATCTTATTCTTGATTGTATAATTTTCTTAATAAATATACATTTTACTTATATTATATAGATATAGGATAAAGTTTTAATTTATTCTATTTTAAATCTCATTCCTTAAACTAAAACTTTAAATAATAATACTAATGAATAAAATTTAACAATATTTAGCTTATTAACTTCATTTTAAAATGATTTAATAATTATATTTTTATTTTTATAATAAATATTGATTAAAATATACTTAAAAGTAAAATATAAATTAAGTGAAATATAGGATCTGGGATTTTAAATATTGTATCAGATTTTAATAAAATATGATTTCATAGAATAAGGTATAGATTATAACAATTAATATATATATTTATAAATTATTCATATCTCTTTAATAGCTTTTATTCAAATTTAAATGGTTAATTAGTAAACTTTTATATTAATTTAAGATCAAAATTTTTGAAATTTTTTTTTAAATAAAATATTTTCTTTTTATATTAGTAAAATCTTGTAAAATATCTATTATTTATAATTATTAAAAATAAAGTAATAATAAATTTATGATGGAACGTAACACATATTAATATATCTTGCTTATTGTCTTTCTAATGAAACTATTTTACATGTGATTTGGTGCAGTCGTTATAAAATTATTAGCATGTAAGGGCCGTTCCCATGCAGATTATGAATGAGATGGTGCCCAAACTTTACGATCAATTAAATAAAGATGGTGATCAGTGCTTAAGCAATCTCTTTTTATTTTTCAATCGATTTTATCATGACTAAAAAAAAGGCTTTAGCTCTAGTTAGTACCCTCCCACAATTTAACTAATAATTAGGAAATGCTTTTTTCCTTATCTTTACCAATTTGTGGTCGTGTAATTAATTTTTGTTCTAAGTCTATTAACGCCTCCAAGAATCGATCAGTAAAATTGACTAAAGACCCTTGAACCTTGACTTACTCCAAATGTTTACTCTAATACTCGTATTCCTGCTCCATTTGCTAGTTTCCATAATGCAATAGCAGTTTATTTCCATACCACAATAGCGCGAAAAGATTTTGAAAAGAGTTTTGACCATCTCCTTCTACTAACAATCGGAAACATCTGTCCAATTTAGGCTTGGCCGATGTTGTATTCTTGCATTTGATGGAGGGAAATAATTAAATAGCATTTGAACATTCTGACATTTTTTATTTGCTATAATAATTTGTATTATAAGGAATAATTTAATAATTCGCTGGCGATAGTCTTGCTGAAAAACCATGATGTAAAATGGAAAGAAGGAAGTACCCGCTTGTGAAGCTTTTGGTTGCTTAATCAATGGTAAATTTAACCAATCGAATCATGTATCAATTTTGTGATACGAGTTTGTTTAACATTTGATACATTCATTTATGTGTGTTTATGCTTGTTCACGTGATAATTTTTTCCGCTTATTTAAAAATTCTAAATTCGGGTTCATCCTTAATAATTAATTTTTTTTTTTCTCATTTTTTTCAATTTAATGAAATGAGTTATCATTTATTTAATTGAATTTTGAATTTGAATTTTGAATTTGAACACTGACTTTTGAATTAAACATTTTCGAACTTATGAAGGAAAATAACTTAAATTTTGTCTTCATTTTTCTACCATTTATTTTCAAAGTATAAAATGGTTTCATTATAGAAACTCGACCGGCGTAACATGGTCTCTCAAACATATGCTCTGAACGATTATCGAAAAGTTTAAAAGATAATTAATCCCGCTCTTTTCGACAAATTTGATATCTTGTCGACAATTTGGTCTGCATTTTTGAAATTTTAGATGAGTACAAAACAAAAAAATTTGTGTTTTTCATCGAAAGTTTTTTTTTTTACTAGAATAATGATCCAATGAAGAAATCAAAGTTTTGGTAAATCATTCTTTTCATTATATAAATGTAACTTCTATTTTCTAATGCTAAAACCTTTCTTCTTAATCGAATACGCCACTTTACGTCAACATTATATTTGGAAATCTGTCACACCATCACAATGGGTGCTTAAATAAGAAGTTGTTTTAAAAAAAAATAAAATAAAAAATAAAAACAAAAAAAAGAATAACTTACCAATAAAATTTAAAGACAGTCCACCATGGGTAGAAAAAGAAATACAACTACTAGTAATTTTAATAGAAAAGGCGGTGAAGGTGGTGTTGCAAGAGGTGGCCGTCATGGAGACAATAAGATTCAAGAGATAAAAAGGTTACAGCAGGAAACAGCGACAGCCAATTTCAGTTCTTCAGAATTGTCATATAAAGGAAGTGATAAATTGGTTTTCATTACAAATGGAGATAATATTAAAACCATATGGAAAAAGATATTGAAAAAAGAAGCTCCATTAATACCAAATGATATTAAAATATTAATTGGTTCAGCATTAGTAGTTACAGATAAAAAATCTGGACATGAAGTTGAAGAATTGGTTACTGAGTTAGGAAATCCAGAAAAAGGCCTTAAAAAATTAAGAGAAATAATTAACTTTCCATCAATGTCATGTGATGCGGGACTTCAAGAAAATGTGTTATCTTTTCAACATGTCATATTACCTTTGATGGGTTTACTGACAAGAACTGCTATTACTGAATGTATTTTGGAGAAATATGTTCATGCTATTTTCTCGGTTGTCTATACTAAAATTGCAAGTATACTATACTGTGTGTTTTTTTTTAAAAAAAAAAAAAATTAAATTAAAAAAAAATTAAATCTTTTATCAGGATTCTTTCCTTAGTAATGTGATAAATATGTTGAATGAGTTGGTTCAACGTGATTCTTTAATGGATAATTCTATTACTTTGGATAAATTATTAGCACGTGAAAGATATACATTTATTCCATCTTCGTTAGTAATTTTTTTTTTTTCTAAAAAAAAAACTATTGAGGTTTACTTTTGCACATCGATTAATTTCTTTTTCTGTTAATTAGATTGGGAATATTTTTCTTGGTAATTGTTCGTTTATTGACAGAATTATTGTGTCGTATTAAAGAAGCCACTCTGAACGAAACGATGCATAAAGTCTCTAAGGCTTTACAAGAATCGTTAGTATATTATCGACAATTGCTTCAACAAGGATTTTATTCCAATACAGCAGACCCGTTAATTCAAAATGTAGAAACAAGAAAATATTTTTTCCAGATCTTAGATAAAGAGGTTAAAAAAATTAATCTTATTTTGAATAATGAACGAATTACCTTATCATTTCAAAATAGTTCAAAAAATTCAAGAGACTCGGAATTGATTAATTCTCGTTACAAAGAATTGGCTAAAAAAGCTGATATGAATAGATCTTATGATCCACCTGGCGAATTATCAAAGAAAGGGAGAAGACATGATAATGATTTCAAAGATATTTCTGAAATGTCGATCATTCCCACAGAAGACGAAATTTTATGTGATAGACGTCCATTCTTACCTTCCGTGCTTCCAGATACTCTTCATTTCTTACCCGACGGCGCAGAAAGATTGCTTGATACTCAATTTCGTCTTTTGAGGGAAGATATGTTAAATCCAATCCGCGAAGGAATCAAAAACTTCTTATATGCATTATCAGATAATAATACTGGCGTAAATAGGGGCAATGATGATAAATCTGCCAAAGAATTAATGAAAATACAAAAGGACGGTGGCAAATTTAAATATGAGAACGGAGACATACAAATTTACGTTCGTATTCAATTTGTTGAGATTGTTTGTGATAGAAGAAATGGTTTGGTTTGCACTTTAAGATTCGATCCAAAATATAGGAAGGCAAAAAATGAAAAAGAAAGAAAAGAATTTTGGGAGAAAAGCAAAAGATTAATGAACGGAAGTTTAGTTTGTTTATTATTACCTAAATCAAATAAAGGATATTCTCTTTATTTTGGTGTAGTAATTTCGAGAAACGACAAATCCTTAGCTAAAAATGCTGATTATGCTGAGATCGGTATTAATTTTATGGATCCCTCAATTTATACCGTTGCATTAGCCGAAATTTCCAAATCTGATAAAATTTCGTTAGAAAATAGGTTTATGGTAGAATCAACTGGTGTTTATTTAGAATCATATTATCATTTCCTTAAAATTATTCAAACCACGAATCCTTTTACTTTTCCCTTTGAAAAATATTTTGCTCCGAATTTACAAGATCAAAAAAGAAAAAATATGCAAGGATTTGTTTATTATGATGATGCTGATAAAGTTGATCCACCTATGTATGCTAGAGCTCCTGGATTTCGATTTGATTTATCTGCCATATGTAATAATAGGAATGTAAGGTTGAATGTTGCTGATACAGGTTCTTATGATAATGCAGCGAGAAATATCAACAAGTATGGCAAATTAGATCAAACTCAAGGTAAATTATATAACCAAGGAAAAAATTAAAGAGAGATGTATTGTAGAAATCTTTTATATTAATTTTTATTTATTAATATATTATTTTAGCGAAAGCTTTGATTTCTGCTTTAACTCGTGAAGTAGCATTAATCGAAGGACCGCCGGGCACAGGAAAAACTGTAGTTGGTATTGAAATCATGAAAGTATTATTGGCACAGCAAAATTCAAATACAAGACTTGGCCCTATTCTTACCGTTTGTTTTACTAATCATGCTCTTGATCAATTCTTGGAGGTAATATATAATTTGTTAATTTTAAATTTATCAAATATTATTATGTTATTTATGATTAAACTTTTTTTCTTCTTTTTTGTTTTTAGCACTTACTTGATGATAATATAACAACGAATTTAGTTCGAATAGGTTCAAGAACAAAATCAGAAAAGATTAAACATTTTAATCTGGAAGAAGTTTGTAAAAAGCGAAAAGGAAAAGGATCGTATTTAATAGCAAGACTTCATGAATCATTAGCTAAGATTGAAAAAGATATCAAGGAAATACAAGAGAAAATATTTAAAAAGTGGTTGAGTTGGGATGACGTTTATGAATATTTGATGCTTGAAAAGCAAGATATTTATGATCAATTTATGTCTCCTTACTTTCCAGATTGGGTTTTGAATGTTGAAGGTGAACCTGTATTCGATCAATGGGTACAAGGTGAAGATCTTAGAATCATTAGTAAAAGCAAGGAAAGATTATTAAATCCAAGGAAAGGGGGTAATAAAAGGAAGCAAGAAGAGCAATATGATTATGAAACTTTAGAATGGATTCACTCTTACAATATACCAAACGGAAACCGTCCTTTAAACGTACTATTAAATACACATTCTGTTTGGCACATGTCCAAAACAGAAAGACATACACTTCATGATCATTGGAAAACAAAAATTCTTGATGAACTCACAGAAAATTTATCAACTTTACGAAAAGCTCACGATGAAAAACGTAAAGAGATGAATGAGATTTATGAAGAAGGGCGAAGAGAAGTTTTATTAGATTGTGATGTTATCGGAATGACAACAAATGGTGCGGCTAAATCTGGAAATTTACTTCGATCTATTGGACCGAAAATTGTTATATGCGAAGAAGCTGGAGAAGTGCTTGAAGCTCATATCCTTAGTACATTAACATCTTCAACACAACATTTAATTTTAATTGGTAAACGTTTAATTTTTTAGTAATTTAGAAAATTATTATTTTATGTTTCTAAAATTTTTTTAAACTTTAGGTGATCATAATCAATTAAGACCGCATATTGCTACTTATACACTTAGTATTGATTCATCTCTCGGAAATAATTATCAATTAGATAAATCATTATTTGAACGGTTGGTCTTGGGTGATAAAGCAATGAAAATTGAAAAATCTCGACTATTAACTCAAAGACGTATGAGAGGAGAAATTTCTGATCTAATTAGACACACTTTGTATCCTGATTTAATTGATGGCGAAAACACCATCAGACATCCGGACGTACGTGGGGCGCAGCATAATGTATATTTTATTGAGCATCGAAATTCCGAAGATAGTTCTGGTGGCGAGTTTGCAATGCAATCTCATGTGAATACATATGAAATTAAGATGGTAGTTGAAATGGTTAAGTATTTCGTTAGTAATGGATATACAAAACCCGATGATATCGCAGTACTTACTCCATATTTAGGACAAATGATTAAAATTAGAGATGCTTTAAAGAAATCATTTGCTGTGATTATTGATGAAAGAGACGCTCAAGAAATTGCTGAATTTGAAGAGCAAGTTGACGAAGCTGAAAATGAAACAAGTGTTGCTACGAAAAAATCGTTAAATCAACAAGTTAATTTGAGAACCGTTGACAACTTCCAAGGAGAAGAAGCAAAGATCGTAATTATTTCTTTGGTTCGTAATGTTTCCACATCCGGTAATAATCATGGCTCTATTGGATTTCTCAAGAGTTCAAATCGAACCAATGTTTTATTGTCACGTGCTCGCGAAGGAATGTATCTTATTGGAAACTCAGAGTTAATGGCATCGAAATCCAAGGACATGTGGGCTCCTATAATTCGTATTTTACGTTCTCGTAATCAAGTTGGTTTTGGTATGCCGATACAATGTGCTCGACATCCTCATAACAAGCATATTATTGTTGAACCCGAACAATTCAAGTTAGTTAGCACAAACGGTGGATGCTTTGAACCATGCGGCGTATCATTGGCTTGTGGACACGCATGTAAGATGTTTATTTTTATTTTAGTAATTAAATTAAAATATTAACAAATCATCATCTTTTCTAGGTACTTATAGGTGTCATGCAGATGATCCTAAACATCTTAACGTAACATGTCAGAAACCTTGTTCAAGATTGCATCCAAGATGTAATCACCCTTGTGATAAGCTTTGTAAGGAGGATTGTGGAAAATGCAATTTCCTCGTCGGGGACATTACGTTACCTTGTGGACATGTTTGCCCAAGTGCTAATTGCCAGCAAAATCTTAATAAAAGTGCTCTCCGGTGTGTTGCACGCGTTGACAAAAAATACCCTCATTGCGACCATACTATAACCATGATGGTGAGTAAATTAATTTTAAATACCGGGGATAATTTTTTTTTATGTGTTATTTATTAGTTCCCAATTTATTAGTGCTATGAATCAATCAAAGATCTCGTGTGTGATAATATGTATGGAGATATTATGTTACGTTGTGGACACGTCTTTCCTGATGGTACTTGTCTACAAAATCAACACAAACATTTACTCCAGTGTAAGACACGCGTAGACAAACGTTATCCTAAATGTCATCACACCATAAACGTTATGGTGAGTAGATTTCTTGAAACGCGTTATTTCGTTTTTTGTTTAATCTATTATTTATTTATATCTTCTCAATTTATTAGTGTTATGAATCGATTAAGAAGCTCAAGTGTAATAATATTTATGGAGATATTATATTACGTTGTGGACACGTTTGGCCTAATGCTACTTGTCAGCAAAATCAAAACCAAAAAAATCTCCAGTGTATGATACGCGTTGACAAACAGTATCGTTATTGTCAACACACAGTGAACGTCATGGTGAGTAAATTTCTAAATAAAAGTTGGTTTTTTTTTTTAATTCATTATTTATTTTCTCAATTTATTAGTGTTGTGAGACGGTTGATAATCTCAAGTGCGACAATATATGTGGAAGTGCCTTGTCGTGTGGCCATAGATGTACAGATAAATGTATTAATTGTCAACAGCGTGCAGGATCAAGATTAACGAATGATAATCCTCATGCGAAATGCAACGATTTATGCAATAAAATATTATTTTGTGGGCATATTTGTAAACGAGGATGTCATGAAGGAGAATCTTGTTTACCATGTAAGAAGGAGTGTATGATATCTTGTGAACATAAAACGTGTGATAAAATTTGTTTAGAACCATGCGTTATATGCGCAAAACCATGTGCATGGGAATGTACACATCAAGGAAAATGTGAACTTAGTTGTGGAGTTCCTTGTTATAGATTACCATGCAATAAACGCTGCGAAAAGAAATTGGAATGTGGGCATTTATGCCCAGGCGTATGTGGGGAATTGTGTCCTCCTAAAATATATTGTATTACTTGTGCTTCTGAGGATATTAGAAGTCAGCAAGGTACAGAAAATTTAAAAGGTCAATTATTTTTATTTTTTATTTTTAAAAAAAATTTTTTTTTTGTATAGAACCACCACCAGATTTTAGGAAAGGCATGAAGTTTAATGATATATATTGGGATGTAGAAAGAATGATCATTCTTTCTTGTGGTCATTTTTACACAATGGAATGTATGGATTACTACATGGAAATCGGAGAATATTATAACGGATCTACAAAAGGAGGATGGACGTCAATTAAAACACTTTCAACAACGCCAGTAAGTGAAAGAACATGTCCGGCATGTCGAATTCCAATTAAAAACATCAAAAGATATGGAAGAAGAATTAAGAAATGTACATTGGACGTACAAAATAGGAAGTTTATCCAAGAATATGATCGTAGGTTAAAGAATATTGCTAATCAGATAATATCATATAATAAAAATGCAGAGAGAATCAATTTGAAAAACCAATTGAGATTAGTTTCTAGTACCGATCCAAGACCTAAAGAAGAGATATTTAAAGAGGTTAATGCTTTAGATGATGTCTTACCTGAACTTACTCCATATCAGTATTTTAATAATGTTGAAAAATATCATGGATTTGAACCTAGCAATGCGACAGTTTGGATTCCTCACGTTAATAAATTGATGAATATTTATCAAGATTTGAGTTTAATTATTCTTGCCGCCAAAAATCCTCCTCACAAAAAGGCATTTGAAGCTTCTATTTCAAGTTTGTAAGTATTACTGCAATAATGAATTTCTTTTATAGAATAGAATATTAATTTTTTATTTATTTTGTATTTAGATCCCAAGTGAATCAAGAAAGTGATTTAACAGCACTTTTGGGATTTTCGGTTCCAAAGATGGAAAAGAGAATATATTTAGATGCATTTTTCGAAATTATAAATATTCAGAATATTTTATTTCATGAAATTTTATTTATAATTGAAGAGGTTCCAAGGAAATCTATCTTTAGTTATTTATTCCAAAGAGTTGTAGAAGTTAAATATACCTGGCAGAAATTTGCGGAAAGGTTACAACGAACAATTCAAAGTCATTTGAATACCATTATAGAAGCAGCTGAGCCTTTACGTTATGATAGACATTTATTATTGTCTAGAGTTGAAATACTAGAATCTGAAATTAAGACGCTTATATTTCAATTAAAGTATCCTCAAGATGGAGTAAAGGATACTGATAAATTGAGAATCAAACAAGGATTTGGGGGGATTCAACGATCCCTTTTGAATATTAAAACAAGTGATGAATATACTCATGTTGTTGATAAGGAATTTTCGAGTGATTTGGAAAAGAGATTGTCTTATTTGTTAAAAAATTGCTATGAAGCTAGTCTTGAAACTAGATTAAACCATTCAATTTTAGAAAACCTAGAATTTCGTAGGATTAAGTTTGACAATTCTGGTATGTATAATGATTACATTTATTTCAATTCTATATATATTAAATTAAAAAAAAAAAAAATAATAATCTTTGTATTAATCATTAGATAATTTGTATGAATGTGCAAATGGACATCCGGTAAATTTTTTTTTTCATTTATTTGGAAACAAAAGTACATTTTTATCTTTTTAACTAAAATTTAATTTATCCTCAGTACACAATCGTTACAGACGTGAATAAATGTCCAGAATGTAACGTTAAGCCGATAGCAGAATAATTTCTAATCCATGGGATAAAAAGATATATACGTAGTTTGAAATTTTTTTTTATAAATAAAAAAATATAAATATTTTTCATTTATTTTGATGAAACCCAGTTTTGATCAGTTTTTTACTAAGAAATTCATTTAACATGTATAGTCTTATTTGTTTTTAAAAAATTTTTCTGTCACAAACTTTATAATGTAATATTATTTATATTTCATTACACCAATTTTATGTAACATTAGAATTTCTTATTTCTAAAAGTTTATCTCAAAAGAATTAATAGTAAAATTATTTTTATTTTATTAAAACTTATATTAAATTACAGAAAAATATATAATTAAATAAAAGTAATTTTTAAAGAGTTGATAATTTTTAATTCAAAATGGAAGCCTTTCATAATCAACTAAAAAAAAAATAATAGAAATTTATTATATATTATTAAAATACTAAAAACTTATTATATTACAATTTTGTAAAATTATTTAAAATTAATAAAATTACTTTAATAAGTTCTTTTAATATATTAACATTTAAAATCTAAAATTTAATTATTTTAAAAAAATATGAAATTCTTATTTATTATTATTTTAAGCTTATATGATTTTATAATAAAATTTTAATTTAAAAAAAATTTTATAAAGATAATTTTATTTATAATATTTTATAATATTAATAAATTTTTATAAAATATTTATTTAAAAATAAAGATTTATTTTAATATCAATCTAATTCAAAATAATTTTTATTATATTATTATATTTGATTTATGACTTCAAATAAAATTCTAAAGTAATAACTAATATTCAAAAAATTACTAAAAATATATTACAAAATTTAAGATTAAAAATAAAAAATATAATTTACTAAATGAGTAATTAATAAATTAATATACTTAATAAACTGATAGAATTTTTTAATTTTACAGTTTTTTTTTTTTAATATTATAAACTTATTTAATAAATTAATATTATATTAATTCTAATTTAGTTAAAATTAAACTAATTCTTAATTTAATATAAATTATTATATTAAAGTAAGTTTATAAGATTAAAGAAATTGTAAAATTTACTTTTATAATATTAATTTATATATTATTATTATAATTATAGATAAAATCATGATTTTTATATTTGATTTAAATTAATCCTAATTTTGATAAAATTATTAATTATAAAGTTATATATCTTAAATTATATATTTATACTACCTGAAAATAAGTTTTTAAAAAAGAAGTTTATTATTATTTTTTTAATACAATATTAGTAACTAGATGATTAACCATTATTAGCAATACATACTTTTATTCTTTAAAGCATACTATCAATTAATTTTAAGTAAGTATCTTGTAAAAATTTTTCCTATTCTTTTTTAAGTTGTATTTCTAAATTCTTAAAATTTTTAGAGAAATTTAAATAGTTATATAATAAACATTCAAAATGATTTTAAAGATGTTCAATGAAATTTAAATCTGAAAATTAAGTAGGCCAATTAATTAACATTTTAATATTTTTTTTTAGCAATTCATGATTTAAATCATTGGCTATTGAATAAATGCATTATTATGTTATATTTGTATAATCAGGTATAAAATTTTGAATTAATAAATAATAACAGTTATTTATCTAAATTTTATATAATAATAAATGAATATGTAAATAATAAGCAAAATTTTCAATTAATAATAAAATCAATTAATTTTATTATATACAATTTTATATAAATTGCAAAAAACTAATTATGTAAACTTATTTTCAGGTAATATATGTATTTTTAATGAATTAATAATTAATTATAATTAATTATTATAATTACAAGATACATCTTTATATAATTATATATAATTATTATTAAATGTTTAATCTTAATTAAAATACTTTATTAAAAAAAATTTATAATAGAAATAAATAAAACAGAAAATAAAAAAAATATATTTAAATTACTTTAAATTTGAATTGCTATTTTAATAAATTTATTAGTAATGTTAACGTGTAATTCTTGTGAATTGCGACAGTTAAACGGGATATTCAAATGGTGATTCTTTTAAGTTTACGTAGTGACTCAATTTAGTTTATCTCAAGATTTATAATTTACACGATAGTGTATTTTCGACAAGACTAAAAGTAAGATAGCTTAATTAATTTAGAGGTATAATAATATGTTTATTGACAATAATAAAATAAAGATAAGAGATAATAATAATAAAATAAGAAAATAAGAAAGAATATGAAAATCAAAAGAGTTAAAGTACTAGGTGAGATGTTAGGCCAGTTACCTCTACAAAAACTACTAGATGCGTATCCAAAAGCAATATCAAAAGAAAACTAAAAGTGAGTTAAAAGCAAACCACTGTTTACATGATTCTATTGCTCTCTATTTATATTAAATTAATACATAGATGGATATAACAAATAAATCAAATATA